TCTGCGCAAAGTGTTAATGCCGTAGCGCTGAAGGGAATAATGTCAAATTGCATTAAATTGTCAAGGTGTGAAAGCATTTTCGATGGATCGAGAATGACATTCTTCAGTCTCACTGCCATTGATCTGGCAATGATTTCTCGCACATCGATCCGGCAATTCAGTCATGCGGATTCCATGCTCCAACGTCGCTGATAAGTTTACCGCAGAGGTTCGCAAGTGCGCTAAGTACCATTATCGTTTTTCGAAGGTGTCGCGACTACCGCTCTGCTCTCGCCGCGATCCACTCCTTCCTCAATCTCCTCTTCTCTCTCTCTCTCACCCGTCTCTCTTCCCACAATTGCGTTATCGCGGCAATTTGTTCTAATGGCTTGCGCGGCGTCACCCATCAACGCCGGTCGCGCCACGGCAGGGTGTTTCTACGACAGCGCGGAGCCGGTTGCGGAGTTCCGCGTGCTGGAGGGCGCGGGGTGGCGCCTGGGCTACGAGACTGCTCCCGCCAACGAGGAGGCCTTCTGCGCCATGGTGAGCCGCCCCGATCCCCCTCCAACCTTCCCTTCCTCCGCACACCCCTCTCCGCGTGCTGGAGGGCGCGGGGTGGCGCCTGGGCTACCAGACTGCTCCCGCCAACGAGGAGGCCTTCTGCGCCATGGTGAGCCGCCTGATCGCCCATGTTGCTATGCTGCCATGCTGCCGCCATACCCATCGCCCGCGCTGTTGAATTGCCGCCATGCAGGGCGGATTGGCGCGCTACACGGCTTGGAGCACGGCATAGCTTGGCGCGCTGCATGGCTTGGCGCGCTGCATAGCTTGGCGCGCTGTATGGATTGGCGCGCTTTCAAGCCGATTGCTTCTGTGCGCCCACGGTTCGCAGGCGTGCTGCCGGCTCATCCGCATGTGGCCGGAATTTCTGTTTCTTTGTATGACACTGCTCCCCCGTGCTGCCCCCGTCTGTCTCGCCCGTCGCGTCTCCCGCATGCGTGCTGGCCCTTTCTCTCGCCATCCCAACCGTGCATCCTTTCCACTCCGTGGCTTGCGGCGGCTGGCAGGTGGGCGCGGGCGGGTGGAGCGTGGCGCTAACGGCGTCGGAGTTCAACGACTTCTGCAAGCTCGTGCAGGTGGGTGCCTGGAATCAGCCTTGCGATTTTCGAATCGACTCAATTCGGCTCAATACACGCGGTTTTGAGTCAACGAAGAGATTCTCCAAGGTCGTGCAAAAGCGCGCTTTGAAGCGTGGCTTATGCTGTTTTCCCAGACGCAGCCATGCATGGATTTTGCAGATTTCCACGTCACAGCGACCCGCAGCCTCTGTAGGGCGTGTTTCCGTCTAGTTGTCCGTCGTGTTCTCATCACTGTAACGAGGCAATTCGTTGATCCATGGCTCCCGATCCACGTGCGCTCGCCCTGTGTGTGCAGATGCTGCGCAAGGGGCTCATCACGATGGACCAGGATGGCGTGCTGAACCGAGATGACATCGTGATGCAGGTGAGATGACGTGGGCGAGATGGCATGGTCATCCAGGTGAGATGACATGGTTGATCAAGGGGCTGATCACGATGGACCAAGACGGAGTTCTCAACCGAGATGACATCGTCATGCAGGTGAGATGACGTGGCATGGTCATGTGGGCGAGATGGCATGGCATGGTCATGTGGGTGAGATGGCATGGCATGGTCATGTGGGCGAGATGGCATGGCATGGTCATGTGGGTGAGATGGCATGACATGGTCACGTGGGTCTGATACATGGTCATCCACGTGAGGTGGCATGAAATTGCACGTGAGCTGATGGTGGGATGCATTGGCACAATGTCAAGGCAAATCATGGACAATCAATGACTGGTTGATACTGAGTGGGCAATTGAATTGTTGTTCCATATCCCGGTTCCAACCCCCTCGCTCACGCTCACTCTCTCCTTGCTTTCTCTCTGGCGTGTTGCTATCCCTGTTCATATCATCATGCGTGCTGATGTGCATGACTCATGATTGTGGTGCGCTCTGGATGGTGCATTCTGGATGGTGCATGGGACGTGGGGCATGATGCATGGTGCATGGCATCAGGTGGAGCTTGGCAATCTATGGATGGAGTGTGTGGTGGCGCGCCAAACATTGCCCACACTGCAGCGGTTCCTCAAGGTACGCCACACAACAGTCCCCACGCTTTCAACAACACGGTCCGTGCTCTCCTTGCAGCTTTGCTTCTTTGCTGTTATTCGCAGCGACCACAACTGTGCAACGCGTAGCCCGAGCTGTGAGGCGCCTCAAAAGAGGTGGCCTTTCAAGCCTGGCACTCCCATCATCCCCTGGAAACTATCTTGCCACAACGGCGTTCCATCCATAGGTTCACAGTCGCCCGGACAGGGTAGTGTGAGCGTGCTACGTGGATGCCGTAGCAGGTGGTGTATGGTTGACAGTGCTATGCGATTTTACGAAAGGATGGGGTGTGTGGTGTGTGTGCAGATGGGAGGGAAGCCCAGTGGAGCAGCCTTTGCCATCCGCTTCATTCTCTCAGGCACTGACTCCAAACGCCAGGTAAGGTCCTTCCTTGGTCACTTCAAATCATATTTCTTTCGGTAACTGATGTGGAGAATGATCAGGTACTTCGTTCCCTCAAACACCGCACTTGTTTCCATTCCACCATGTTATGTGCCTGCCACCACAAGCCCTAATCAGTGCGTCCCGTGTCTCGCGCTCCCCTGCCTGCATGCCATGTAATGTGTCCCCACTATACCAGGCGGAGGGCTTCTGGCCAGCGGAGGCGGTGATGGACATGCTGGCCAAGATGGACGAGCTCTCGTCGCCTTCACAGCCCAACTCCTCCAGCAAGCAAGCAGAAGCAGTCACCGCATGAGCGGCTAATTTGTCGACATAAATTGATTATTCGCACTAGTTCTCTGAAATCAATTACCATTTATTTCAGAGAGGTATGGATGTTTGTGTGCAGAGTCCCACATCCAACAGTGGGTGCTAGGAGGTTGATTGCAATAGTGAGCATGCCATTGGCTCCTGCACGCTCCCATGTAAATGGGCTTATGCCAATAATGCTCGTGTTAGGAATTGAAAGATGTTTGCAGTTGAGTCTCCATTGTCGAGTATTGTTGAAATTATGGCAAGAGAGTTTTGCAAAAGTGAAGATAACTATATGTTGTGAAGTATACAGTAATGCATTTAAGAAGGATCAAGGTTTGACCGAGGCTTGCAGCGGCTGCTGTTTGTGTGGGGCACAGCGGCGGCCGTCAAACTGATTGAGGTGGCGCGAAGTGGTTGGTGTGACTCGGCTGCCAAGTCATTACGGGCAGCACTTTTCTTCCGAACGGCTTCCGTTACTCTCTCTTCACCCTCCGATACGAACTCGCCCATATCCTACGGCTGTTTCGATCGCCCTCACCAGCAGGAGTTTTCTAGGTTAATGCACATCACACACGTCACGTTGGCAAAGCGAGGCTGGGCTGGCTCTGTTGGCGGGAGCAAGAACTTCGCGCCTCGTGAACGCGGAAGGTTCTCCACCACTCCACTACAGCACAGCTGGACTGCGCGAGCCTGATCATCTGCAGCGCAATCCGAGAACTCCGGTTTGGCGAGCGTCCGTTTGTGTCACGCTGGGGTTTCCCCAGCCTTGAGGTTTGCTGGGCCTCGGGGGTTGCCTGCCCAACATTGGGGTTTGCCGAGCGTTGGGGTTGCGCGACGGCGAACCAGACTTGGAAAGCAGGTTGATGAGCGTCAAGGTAATTCCAGTCGCAAGGAGAACGCGATTGATGACGGTAGCACGACCAATCCAAGCGCACAGGCAAGCAGGACGAATTACAGGTCTGGTCAGTCGGTGAGAGGAGGAACTGTTATCCAGCAGTGTTGGTTTCGGTTTGATTGTTTTAGAATGGTTTGAGTTAGGTTCCTTACCTGATCCCTGCCTTCAGTGATTGAAGTCCAGGTCAGACGGGCGAGGGTGGGGAAGGAACCAGTCAAGGCACGCTTGTAGACGAGACGGCTGTTGATGATGATCAGGAAAGTCCGAGGTTCTTTTTTGAGGCACATGCCAACCTAATCTTGCTCTTTTTGTTTTTTCGTTCGACGAATAATAAGGCCAGCTGCTACACCTCTTATTTTTTGCCAGGGCAGCAACCGCTGGTCATAGCGTATCCCTCTATTAGGCCGTTGCAGTAGCTTCGCATGGCAGGCCCGACAAGTGCTAGCGGGGGAGGAAACACGATTGGTCGAGGCGGGGAATTGTCGAGTCGTCGAGTGGTCGGCGTAGGTCCCACGTCGCAGCGCGAATCGCGAGGAATGGGAATGGATGGCGCTAGGGATAGTAGGGATGATCGCCGTGTGAGTGGGTGGAGGAGCAGTGAAGCGGGACAAGCGGGGGAAGGGAGGGAAAAGAAGCGCGTGTCGCGGGTGGTGCGGACGGCGTGGGTCCAATGCGACGACCTCAAGTGCAAGAAATGGCGGCGAGTGCCGATGCAAATTGCACGAGCCATGAGCAGCAGCGATGCGAGATGGTTAGTGAATAGGAAAATTCAATGCTGTGTCGGTCGATTGTAAGCCAAAGCGGCGTGAGTCATCTCATCGGAAGAAGGTCCTTTCGCCAATCCTTGCCGGCCTCGTGCCGCTCGCCGCATACTCTCGTCCCGTCCATATCACCCCGTGTTTCCGGTGTTAGGGTTTCGTGTTAGGCTCCACGCCTCCACATGCTCCGCCGCAGCCGACAGCCTCAACATTTTCGCCACTGTCCTACGCCGTGGAACCGTTTTGCCAGTCCTCGTTGGTTAGACGACATTCAATTTCCTCCCTGCCATCTCAAGCATTGTCTCTACCATCCGTGAGGTCATCGCTGCGACCGATGGCGTATAATCGGCAAACCCTAGAAACAGCCGCAGCGACCCTTGCATTCACTTACCGTCCTGTTCGTTCCGCCACTTACATTGCTCGTCCCCTTTTGTCGCCTCCATGCCCCATATTCCCGGTCGTCCTCCCGCCGGTTCCCGACATTGTCGCAGGTTTTGTCGCATGAATCCTGATCCCGCCTTCGCCAGCTGTCGCGTGCCGCAGGAAAGCGACGACGCGAACGACAATGACGACGCCGAGGACGACGACGAAGCGGAGCAGGACACGCGGGGAAGAGACGGCGCAGGGGGGAGCAACAGCAGGGGCGAGAGGGAGATGGGCGCGCGGAAAGAGCAGGGGGGGGGGGAGGGAAGGGGGCATGGGGAAGAAGCGGAGGGCGGCGGGGGAGGGGCGGCGGAGTGGAGCAGCGCGAGCGAGTGTAGCAGCGAGTGCAGCGACGGCGACGGCAGCGTCGCCATCCAGTTCTCCGACTCCGACGACGACCCCGACCCGGGGGACGACGACGCGCAGTGCGCGCCGTGGCGGGGCGCGGATAGCGCGCAGGCCGGGCGCGGAGGGGAGGTGCCGTGGTGGCAGTGGGGGAGCAGCGGAAATGGCAGGTTTGGGGTAGGCGCGCCAGGGCGGGGGAAGGCGGGGGCTGGGAGGGGAAGGGGGAGAGGCGCGGGAGGGGTGGGCGGAAGTTGGGGCGCGGTCATGGGGGGACCGGGGAAGCCCGCGGTTCCTCCGCCTCGCCTCGTGGGTGAGTCCGCCTGTCCTTGCGCTTGCGCGTGCTAGCCACGCCGCGCCTCGCCCTCTTCCCCGCCAACATTCTTTCGCTTCCACCCGTTTTCCCCCACCTTACATGAGTGTTGAACAATCGCCTGCTTGCGCGCGCGTGTTTCGTTCCCCTTTGGGCGGGGCGTGCGCAGGGTCGGGCAAGCGCGCGTGGATCCGCATCGTGGAGAACGAGTACCTGCACCGCCGCCCCAAGCTGCAGCGCACCGACGAGGTGAGCGGGGGAGGGGGCGCGCGGGCGGAGGGGGAGGGTGGAGGCGGAGGAGAGGGTAGGATGGAGTGAAAAATGGGCGACATGTTGTAGGGGGAGGACGAGGCAGATTGGGAAATTCGCAATGCAGGGACTCAGAAAGGCGAGGTAGAGTGAAGGAATGGAACGAGGCACAATGTCATGTCACGGGTCCCATGACTTGCCCTTTTCTCCAATGCACACGGTCTTCCATTCACAACCTTTTTCTTTCCCCGCCCTCCACCCAACAGGTGCTGGTGTGCCAGTGCGTGCCGCCGCCGCCCGGGCGGCGAGAGAAGGGGTGCGGGGAGTCGTGTCTGAACCGCCTGGTCAGCATCGAGTGCCAGCCCAAGCTCTGCCCATGCGGCGCTGCCTGCGCCAACCAGCAGGTGTGTACTCTCATGCGGTGCAGTGCGGTGCAGCGTGGTGACTTTTGAGTCGACTCAAAAGACTCAAAAGAGGGGTTGCGGGGAGGCGTGTTTGAACCGCCTGGTCAGCATCGAGTGCCAGCTCAAGCTCTGCCCCTGCGGCGCTGCCTGCGCCAACCAGCAGGTACTCTCATGCGGTGCAGTGCGGTGCAGCATGGTGACTTTTGAGTCGACTCAAAAGACTCAAAAGAGGGGTTGCGGGGAGTCGTGTTTGAACCGCCTGGTCAGCATCGAGTGCCAGCCCAAGCTCTGCCCCTGCGGCGCTGCCTGCGCCAACCAACAGGCGAGTACTCTCATGTGGTGCAATGCGGTGCAGTGCGGTGCAGTGTGGTCGGGAGGCGTGTTTGAACCGCCTGCTCAGCATCGAGTGCCAGCCCAAACTCTGCCCCTGCGGCGCTGCCTGCGCCAACCAACAGGTCAGCGCTCTCATGCAGTGCACTCCGGTGCTCTCGCCACCACCCACACACCAGTTCCCGCCCCGTGTCCCTTGTCCCTGCCCCATGCCACTCTTCGTTGCCCCCTTCCCTCGTCTCCGTCCCTTCCCTCTCTCCCCCCTCACATTCCCCTCCCTCTCGGCCCCTTTCCCCACATTCTCCGCCACAACAGTTCCAGCAGCGGCGGTACGTGAAGGTGGAGATAGCCCGCTACGGCCGCAAGGGGTACGGCGTGCGGGCGCGGCAGGCGGTGGCAGCGGGGCAGTTCATAGTGGAGTACGTGGGGGAGGTGCTCAACCGCAAGGCGTTTGCTGTGCGCCTGGAGGAGTACAGGCGCGCCAAGCAGCGCCACTACTACTTCATGACCCTCAACAACAGCGAGGTACGGTACGGTACGGTGCAGTGCGGTACGGTACGGTATGGTACGGTCCGCGCCCCTGCAGTGTGAAGCAGGCGGAGGGGGCAGCGGGGCAGTTCATAGTGGAGTACGTGGGGGAGGTGCTCAACTGCAAGGCGTTTGCCGTGCGCCTGGAGGAGTACAGGCGCGCCAAGCAGCGCCACTACTACTTCATGACGCTCAACAACAGCGAGGTACGGTGCGGTACAGTGCGGTACGGTCTGGTCCGCGCTCAAGGTGTTTGCTGTGCGCCTGGAGGAGTACAGGCGCGCCAAGCAGCGCCACTACTACTTCATGACGCTCAACAACAGCGAGGTACAGCCCGCGCCCCTACTATTTGAGATAAAATCAGAATCCGAGTGCGGGTGTGCCAAGCAGCATCACCGGTGTTAGATGACAGTCAGCAACCATGCGGTAGGCACCGCTGCTAGCCAAGCCTTCATTTGATGCGCCACCTCCTGCTGACATATGCCCCTCCGGCACCCCATGCACCTCCTGCTGACATATGCCCCTCCGGCACCCCATGCACCTCCTGCTGACAGGCACCCCATGCACCTCCTGCTGACATATGCCCCTCCGGCACCCCATGCACCTCCTGCTGACATATGCCCCTCCGGCACCCCATGCACCTCCTGCTGACATATGCCCCTCCGGCACCCCATGCACCTCCTGCTGACATATGCCCCTCCGGCACCCCATGCACCTCCTGCTGACATATGCCCCTCCGGCACCCCATGCACCTCCTGCTGACATATGCCCCTCCGGCACCCCATGCACCTCCTGCTGACATATGCCCCTCCGGCACCCCATGCACCTCCTGCTGACATATGCCCCTCCGGCACCCCATGCACCTCCTGCTGACATATGCCCCTCCGGCACCCCATGCACCTCCTGCTGACATATGCCCCTCCGGCACCCCATGCACCTCCTGCTGACATATGCCCCTCCGGCACCCCATGCACCTCCTGCTGACATATGCCCCTCCGGCACCCCATGCACCTCCTGCTGACATATGCCCCTCCGGCACCCCATGCACCTCCTGCTGACATATGCCCCTCCGGCACCCCATGCACCTCCTGCTGACATATGCCCCTCCGGCACCCCATGCACCTCCTGCTGACATATGCCCCTCCGGCACCCCATGCACCTCCTGCTGACATATGCCCCTCCGGCACCCCATGCACCTCCTGCTGACATATGCCCCTCCGGCACCCCATGCACCTCCTGCTGACATATGCCCCTCCGGCACCCCATGCACCTCCTGCTGACATATGCCCCTCCGGCACCCCATGCACCTCCTGCTGACATATGCCCCTCCGGCACCCCATGCACCTCCTGCTGACATATGCCCCTCCGGCACCCCATACACCTCCTGCTGACATATGCCCCTCCGGCACCCCATGCACCTCCTGCTGACATATGCCCCTCCGGCACCCCATGCACCTCCTGCTGACATATGCCCCTCCGGCACCCCATGCACCTCCTGCTGACATATGCCCCTCCGGCACCCCATGCACCTCCTGCTGACATATGCCCCTCCGGCACCCCATGCACCTCCTGCTGACATATGCCCCTCCGGCACCCCATGCACCTCCTGCTGACATATGCCCCTCCGGCACCCCATGCACCTCCTGCTGACATATGCCCCTCCGGCACCCCATGCACCTCCTGCTGACATATGCCCCTCCGGCACCCCATGCACCTCCTGCTGACATATGCCCCTCCGGCACCCCATGCACCTCCTGCTGACATATGCCCCTCCGGCACCCCATGCACCTCCTGCTGACATATGCCCCTCCGGCACCCCATGCACCTCCTGCTGACATATGCCCCTCCGGCACCCCATGCACCTCCTGCTGACATATGCCCCTCCGGCACCCCATGCACCTCCTGCTGACATATGCCCCTCCGGCACCCCATGCACCTCCTGCTGACATATGCCCCTCCGGCACCCCATGCACCTCCTGCTGACATATGCCCCTCCGGCACCCCATGCACCTCCTGCTGACATATGCCCCTCCGGCACCCCATGCACCTCCTGCTGACATATGCCCCTCCGGCACCCCATGCACCTCCTGCTGACATATGCCCCTCCGGCACCCCATGCACCTCCTGCTGACATATGCCCCTCCGGCACCCCATGCACCTCCTGCTGACATATGCCCCTCCGGCACCCCATGCACCTCCTGCTGACATATGCCCCTCCGGCACCCCATGCACCTCCTGCTGACATATGCCCCTCCGGCACCCCATGCACCTCCTGCTGACATATGCCCCTCCGGCACCCCATGCACCTCCTGCTGACATATGCCCCTCCGGCACCCCATGCACCTCCTGCTGACATATGCCCCTCCGGCACCCCATGCACCTCCTGCTGACATATGCCCCTCCGGCACCCCATGCACCTCCTGCTGACATATGCCCCTCCGGCACCCCATGCACCTCCTGCTGACATATGCCCCTCCGGCACCCCATGCACCTCCTGCTGACATATGCCCCTCCGGCACCCCATGCACCTCCTGCTGACATATGCCCCTCCGGCACCCCATGCACCTCCTGCTGACATATGCCCCTCCGGCACCCCATGCACCTCCTGCTGACATATGCCCCTCCGGCACCCCATGCACCTCCTGCTGACATATGCCCCTCCGGCACCCCATGCACCTCCTGCTGACATATGCCCCTCCGGCACCCCATGCACCTCCTGCTGACATATGCCCCTCCGGCACCCCATGCACCTCCTGCTGACATATGCCCCTCCGGCACCCCATGCACCTCCTGCTGACATATGCCCCTCCGGCACCCCATGCACCTCCTGCTGACATATGCCCCTCCGGCACCCCATGCACCTCCTGCTGACATATGCCCCTCCGGCACCCCATGCACCTCCTGCTGACATATGCCCCTCCGGCACCCCATGCACCTCCTGCTGACATATGCCCCTCCGGCACCCCATGCACCTCCTGCTGACATATGCCCCTCCGGCACCCCATGCACCTCCTGCTGACATATGCCCCTCCGGCACCCCATGCACCTCCTGCTGACATATGCCCCTCCGGCACCCCATGCACCTCCTGCTGACATATGCCCCTCCGGCACCCCATGCACCTCCTGCTGACATATGCCCCTCCGGCACCCCATGCACCTCCTGCTGACATATGCCCCTCCGGCACCCCATGCACCTCCTGCTGACATATGCCCCTCCGGCACCCCATGCACCTCCTGCTGACATATGCCCCTCCGGCACCCCATGCACCTCCTGCTGACATATGCCCCTCCGGCACCCCATGCACCTCCTGCTGACATATGCCCCTCCGGCACCCCATGCACCTCCTGCTGACATATGCCCCTCCGGCACCCCATGCACCTCCTGCTGACATATGCCCCTCCGGCACCCCATGCACCTCCTGCTGACATATGCCCCTCCGGCACCCCATGCACCTCCTGCTGACATATGCCCCTCCGGCACCCCATGCACCTCCTGCTGACATATGCCCCTCCGGCACCCCATGCACCTCCTGCTGACATATGCCCCTCCGGCACCCCATGCACCTCCTGCTGACATATGCCCCTCCGGCACCCCATGCACCTCCTGCTGACATATGCCCCTCCGGCACCCCATGCACCTCCTGCTGACATATGCCCCTCCGGCACCCCATGCACCTCCTGCTGACATATGCCCCTCCGGCACCCCATGCACCTCCTGCTGACATATGCCCCTCCGGCACCCCATGCACCTCCTGCTGACATATGCCCCTCCGGCACCCCATGCACCTCCTGCTGACATATGCCCCTCCGGCACCCCATGCACCTCCTGCTGACATATGCCCCTCCGGCACCCCATGCACCTCCTGCTGACATATGCCCCTCCGGCACCCCATGCACCTCCTGCTGACATATGCCCCTCCGGCACCCCATGCACCTCCTGCTGACATATGCCCCTCCGGCACCCCATGCACCTCCTGCTGACATATGCCCCTCCGGCACCCCATGCACCTCCTGCTGACATATGCCCCTCCGGCACCCCATGCACCTCCTGCTGACATATGCCCCTCCGGCACCCCATGCACCTCCTGCTGACATATGCCCCTCCGGCACCCCATGCACCTCCTGCTGACATATGCCCCTCCGGCACCCCATGCACCTCCTGCTGACATATGCCCCTCCGGCACCCCATGCACCTCCTGCTGACATATGCCCCTCCGGCACCCCATGCACCTCCTGCTGACATATGCCCCTCCGGCACCCCATGCACCTCCTGCTGACATATGCCCCTCCGGCACCCCATGCACCTCCTGCTGACATATGCCCCTCCGGCACCCCATGCACCTCCTGCTGACATATGCCCCTCCGGCACCCCATGCACCTCCTGCTGACATATGCCCCTCCGGCACCCCATGCACCTCCTGCTGACATATGCCCCTCCGGCACCCCATGCACCTCCTGCTGACATATGCCCCTCCGGCACCCCATGCACCTCCTGCTGACATATGCCCCTCCGGCACCCCATGCACCTCCTGCTGACATATGCCCCTCCGGCACCCCATGCACCTCCTGCTGACATATGCCCCTCCGGCACCCCATGCACCTCCTGCTGACATATGCCCCTCCGGCACCCCATGCACCTCCTGCTGACATATGCCCCTCCGGCACCCCATGCACCTCCTGCTGACATATGCCCCTCCGGCACCCCATGCACCTCCTGCTGACATATGCCCCTCCGGCACCCCATGCACCTCCTGCTGACATATGCCCCTCCGGCACCCCATGCACCTCCTGCTGACATATGCCCCTCCGGCACCCCATGCACCTCCTGCTGACATATGCCCCTCCGGCACCCCATGCACCTCCTGCTGACATATGCCCCTCCGGCACCCCATGCACCTCCTGCTGACATATGCCCCTCCGGCACCCCATGCACCTCCTGCTCCCCTTCCCCTCCCTTTCATGCGCCTATGCCCGCCATGCCTTCCCCCTGCGCACACTGGCAGGTGATAGACGCGTGTCGCAAGGGCAACTTCTCGCGCTTTCTCAACCACAGCTGCGAGCCTAACTGCTGCCTTGAGAAGGTGCGTGCTCACTGATTGGGCTGATTGGATTGACTGGGTTGGCATGTGCGTGGGCTGACACAGGGTTGAGGCCGTGCAGGTGGACTGCTTGCCTGCCAGCCTGCCCTGCCTGCTGCCCATCGCATCTTGCCTATGCTCCCATCTGCATGCCCTATCATCCTCATCCTCGTCACACGCGCCCTCTCCTCCCCTCTCCTCACCATCCGCGTTTCTCCTGTCCTCTCCTCTTCCCTCTCCCCTACCACTCGTGCCTGACCCCATCGCCCCTTCGTCTCTCACTGCCGTGTGCTGCTGCAGTGGATGGTGCGGGGCGAGTTGCGCATTGGACTCTTCTCCCTGCGCCCCATCAAAGCGGTGAGACCCCTCCTCCCCGCCCCTGCCCCTGCCCCCGCCCCTTCCCCTGCCTCCTCCCTGACCCTGCCCCTGCCTCCTGCCCTTCCCCTGCCCCTGTCTCCTGCCTTTCCCCTGCCCCTGCCCCTGCCACTGTCCTGTACGTCCTCTCCTTCTCCTCGTTTACAACATCCTCGTTGACTCACCACAAGCACTGCCTGCCCCTCGTTTCAGGGCGAGGAGCTATCGTTTGATTATAACTACGAGCGCTTTGTGGGGGCGCGCCCCACGCGCTGCTACTGCGGTAGCCAGGCCTCCTTTCCCCTCTTCCCTCCCCCCCCCCTCCATCTCCCCACTCCTTTCCCCCTTTCCTCGCCCTCCCTGCAGGGCGACGAGCTATCATTCGACTACAACTACGAGCGCTTTGTGGGTGGACGCCCCACGCGCTGCTACTGCGGCAGCCAAACCTCCCTCCCGCCCATCTCCCTCCCCACTCCCTCCCCTTTCCCCGCCGCTCCCCGTCCCCCCCTCCATCTCTCCAATGACTGCAGGGCGAGGAGCTGTCATTTGACTACAATTACGAGCGCTTTGTGGGGGCGCGCCCCACGCGCTGCTACTGCGGCAGCCAGGCCTGCCGCGGCGTGCTGGGCGGGGCCGAGCTGAAGAAGCCACGCGTGCGCCCTGCTGTGCAGCGAGCTGTGGCCGAGGAGGTGGAGGAGGAGGAGGAAGAGGAGGAGGAGGAGGAAGAAGTCGGAGGGAGAGAAGGGGAGGGGAGGGAGGGGCAGCAGATGGTGATTAGTGAGAGGGGGATTGGGCTGGGCAGGGAGTGTGAGGCGGAGGAGGAGGGATCCGAGAGTGAGAGTGATGATGGGAGTGAGAGTGAGAGTGGGAGTGAGGGTGAGAGTGAGAGTGAGTCTGGGAGCGAGAGTGAGTGGGAGGAGGTGTACGGGTCAGGGGAGGGGAGTGAAGAGGAGGGAGCAGAGGAGTACGGGTGCAGGCGAGAGGGCATGCATATGGGTGAAGGGGGAAGGGTTGGAGAGGAGGGAAGAGAGGGCAGTGGCGGAGGGAGAGGGGCGGGTGCGCGCCTGGCATGGGAGGGCAAGCGGGCAAGGTCCCGCCTGGCCCTCCCTCACCCCAGGTCGCTTCGCCCTGCGCCCTCCCCCTGGCTCCTCTCCTCCCCGCGCTCCCCCCCCGCCCATGCGCGCCCCCTCCCATCCCCCTCTGCGCGCCCTGGGTTACCCCAGGGAGGGGCGGCTGCAGGGCGCGAGGGGAGGGGCGTGCAGGGGGGGGCGGGAGGGGTGGGGGCAACACATGGCCGGGGGACGCAGCAGGGGGAGAAGGAGGGGCGGGGCGGGGAGGGCGAGGGGGAGGGGGAGCGGGTGTGGTTCGAACGGGGCGAAGGGGAGGGGGATGGGGATGGGGAAGGGGAGGGGGAGGGGGAAGCATGTGTGGAGGACGGGGAGGGGGGCATGCGGCATGCCAAGAGGCGGAGGCTGCGGAAGGTGGCAGGTCTGGGGGAGAGGGTGTGGCGGCAGGGTGGGGAGAGGGGCGCGGACAGAGAGGAGGGGCACAGGGAGGCGTGGGGAGGCGAGGAGAGCGGGGCACATGGGCATGGGTTTGACCTGACGGCGGAGGCAGCAGGGGGGGGCGGGGGGGCGGGGGAGGTGCAGGCGGCACCGGCGGAGTATGTGGTGGCGGCGTGCCAGGGGGTGCTCTTCCACTCCGATGGTGAGCCGCTCTGCTGCTGCTGCCTGCGCTATGGTGCCATGTGCTGCCTGTGATGAGTGTTTGCCCCATGCATTCCCCGAGCTGAGTATGTGGTGGCGGCGTGCCAGGGGGTGCTCTTCCACTCCGATGGTGAGCTGTGCTGCTGCCTGCGGTCCGGTGATGTGCCATGTGCTGGCCCGTGCTGCGTTGCACCATGCACTGTGCACCGTCATTGCCATACACATCCAGCCATGCATCCAGCCATGCGTCTCGCCCATCCCTCACACATGGCCCATGAACCTCTGCATGCATCTGTGCGTGTGCATGTGTGCAGTGGAGGAGGCATTGGAGCTGCTGCTGGACGGCAACGATGCGCTCATCAAGGGCAAGGTGGGCTTCACCTGATCTCTCACACCCTCCTTCCGATGTGTGTGTGCGTGCGTGCCCATGTGAGCAGTGGAGGAGGCGTTGGAGCTGCTACTGGATGGCAATGATGCGCTCATCAAGGGCAAGGTGGGCTGCCCTTCCCGCCCCCTCTCTCACTCTCACGTTCCTCCTCTTCTCCCTCCTCCTTCTCCTTATCCTTCCGTCCCTCTCAACCTCACCGGAAGCCACACCTTCTTTCTCCACTCACATCTTTCCATACCATACCCTCCCTCCCTGTTTTGAAGTTTCAACCTCACGCCCCCTTTTTTCTCTTCCTCCCCAACTCTCCTCGCCTAACCCTCTCCATCGGTCGCCCGCAGAGCACGGCGCGTTCCTTTGTGCGGCTGTTAATGCGAGCCACCTCCTGTGGCGACTTCTCCTCGGGCGTCCCCAACTTCAGGTGGGTGGGCCTTGAGCCGCGACGGGTGCGGGCTGTGGGGGCTGTGGGGGATGTGGGGACTGTGGGGGGTGTGTGGTGTGGTGTGGTGTGGTGTGGTGTGGTGTGGTGTGGTGTGGTGGATGGTGGCGTCATGTTATGCTCTGCTCCCAGCATCCATGCATGTGCGATGCGCCTCGCATGCTATGCACTACGTTTCTTGATTTTTTGCGCCTCGCCTGTTTTTTTGCTTCTTTTACTAACTGCTGCACACCACAACCCATGCCTGTGTGCATGACTGCCTTGTGTGTGCATGCACCCCATGCAGTGCAAAGGAGGTGTCGCTGCTGCTGGAGGCACTGCTGCGCACATCATCAAGAACACTCCTCAAGCACATCATCGCCACCAACGGTGGGTCTGCTCAGTCCTTTGTTTCAGGCACCTTAGAATCAGAGCATTGCACTGCACTGCACATCCTCAGGGGCGCTCAGTAAACACATCATGCCACAACAGGGGGTCTGCTCAGGGACGTCAAAATAAGCATTGCTTCGCACATAATCAAGAACGTTGCTCAAGCACATCATCGCCACCAGCGGTGGGTCTGCTTGTTCCTTCCCTAGAGTCACCTTACAACGAGGGCACTGCTGCACAACCCGTCACGCCACTCCTCTGGTATATCATCGTATTGCCACCAGCACTGCTGCACAGTGCACACCTCGTACAGGCCAGTGCCAGCTTCTCCCTCTCAACCCTCTTTCGACCCATCTATCCCTATCTCTCTCTCTCCTATCCTCCCCACACACTCCTTACCCCTCCCCCCCTCCAGGGTTGAACGTGCTGCAGATATTGGGGCGCAAGCTGCAGCACGAGAGGGAGCGAGTGGGCATTCTGAGTCTTTTGAGTCAACTCAAAACTCACCCTCCCCCCTCTCCCCCCTCCCCCTCAACCCCTCCCCCAGGGCTGAACGTGCTGCAGATATTGGGGCGCAAGCTGCAGCACGAGAGGGAGCGAGTGGCCATTCTGAGGAAGCTGCTGCGAGTGGCACACCACCTGCACGCCACTGCCGCTCTCTCCCTGCAGGCCGCTCATGCCGTCCCCCCCACCGCCAATGAGAGGTGCGCATCCGGTGTCACTCCTTCCTTAAGCTGCTGCGCGTGGCACACCACCTGCAGGCCGCTCATGCCGTCCCGCCCACTGCCAATGAGAGGTGCGCATGCCATCCTTCTTCATCCCTCCTTGCTCTTCCATGCTGCATGGAGTAATCAGACCCCCTGCTCACGTCCATTCTTACGTCCATTCTCATGCTGCCCCACCACCACTCCCTTTTCTGCCCTCAACCACGCATCACTCTTCCCCCGGGCCTTGCCTTTGCCTCCCATGTCCCACATGCACACTCCCCCCTTCCCCCATCAGCTTCTCTGCGCTAATTGGCCGGCTGCACAGGCACAGGGACACGGAGGTGCAGCGCCTGAGCGCTGCTCTCTCCCACTCACCACACACCTTCCCCACCCCTCCTCCCCCCAACACACTTCCCCCCTACCCCCCACAGCTTCTCTGCGCTCATTGGCCGGCTGCGCAGGCACAGGGACGTGGAGGTGCAGCGCCTGAGCGCCGCCCTCTCCGCCCTGTGGGGCCTGCCGCCCCTCCACCCCCGCCGCCGCGGCGCTGCTCTCTCCTGCGACGGGCGCGGGGGGCCATGGCAGGGCAGGGGCGGACGGGAGGGGCGCGAGGGGCGGGTGCACAGGGCAGGGAAGGGCAGGCGCGGGCATGGGAGGGCGGGAGTGGCAGCAGAGGGTGCAGGAGCAGGTGCAGGAGAGGGGGGCAATGCTGCGGTTGCACGTGCTGCAGCGTCTGCTGCAGCAGCCGTGGCAGCAGCAGCGGCGGCGGCGGCAGCAGCTGTGGCCAGAAGCCCCATTGCCACAGCAGGAGCAGCTGGTGCTGCTTCACAGCTACCCCAGCGGCACACCTCCTCCCTGGCAGAAGCTGCTGCTGCTGGGACCTGTTCCTCCGCTCCCTCTCACCCTTCTCCTGCTGCGGCTGCTTCAGCCTCTCCCTCTGGCCCTGCTACTTCGCATCCCACTGCCCCCTCCTCTGCTGCTGCTGATTCCGCCGCTGCGGCGGCCGCAGCAGCAGCAGCAGCAGCCAGCATGCCTCTGCTCGCACACACCCTCCGCCACCTGCAATCACTGCCGCACCTGCAGACCCTACCGCACCTGCAGTCGCTCTCACTTCCTCTCAGCATGAATCTCGCTCTTGGGGGGAACCTGGGCATGGGGATGGGCATGGGTATGGGCATGGGAATGGGCATGGGCATGGGCATGAACGTACCACCCCAGTTGTGCCACCTGCTGCCCCTGGCCTGCCACTTCCCCTTCCACTACGCTCTCCCTCTGCCCCTGCGTCTCGCGTTTCCCCCGGACCCTGCTTCCCTGTTGCTGCAGCAGCAACAGGGGCCAGCAGCAGCGGCAGCAATGGCAGCGGCCGCTGCAGCAATGGGTGGGCCGGGCTGTCGGCCTCAAGGGGGTGGAGACGCGGGCGGTTCATCACAAAGCGTGGCGGCCGCCGCTGCCGCTGCTGCTGCTGCTCCTGCTGCAGCTGCGACAGTTGCCGGTGATGCTGCAGCTGGTAATTCTGGTGATGGTGGTAGGGCTGCCACCGATAGCACTGCCGATGAGAAGATTGCTGTTGCTGAGAATGAAAGCGCTGCTGCCGATGATAAGTGCGCTAGCAAGGCACCATCCACCACAACCACTGCATCTGCCCAACCCCATGCAGCAGCAGCTGACGCCCCACCTGTCCCAGCAGCAGGGCACCCCCTGCCTCCTGCTGCCCACCCCCTGCCTGCTGCTGCACACCCGTCACACTTCTCAGCGGCGACCACAGCAGCTGCAGCAGCAGCCGTGCAGCACATGATGCAGAGGCGCCTCTCCCTCGCCCTCTCCCATGCAGTCTCCCAAGCCAACGCCGTCTCCCAAGCCAACGCCGCCGCTGCTGCTGCCGCCTCAACTGCTGCCAAACCTCCCGCCCCTTTCCACCCACATGCCCCCTCCGCTGCCCCCTCTGCCTCTGCCCCGCCTGCTGCTCCCGTGCCCGCTTCCCCCACTGCTGTGCCACATGCTGTTTCACCCCTTGCAACTCCTCCCTCCTCTCCCACCCCGCTCCCTGCCTCGCTGCCTGCTGGTCACCCAGTTCCTGCTGCTGCTTCCTCGCCCACGCCCCCTCCCCCCTCTCCCAAGCTCTCTTCCCACCGTGCCACTCATTATGCCCCCCAGCATGCCCCTCCCCACATCTGCCAGCCTCACACAGCGCCGTTTACCAGCCCTGAACGCTGCCCTGCACCTGCTGCCTGCTCTGCTGCCTCCAAGGGGGCGAAGAGGCAGCAGGCGTGGAGGAACGCGGGAGGGGAGAAGGAAATGGAAAAGGGGAGGGAAAAGGAGGGGGAGAAGGGAGGGCAGAAGGGAGGAGAGGGCCAGGCGAGTGTGGATGGACTGGGCAAGGATGTCCCAGAGCCTGCATTGCCAGTTGCGGCTGCTGATGCCCCTCTTCCTGCCCATACTGCTGCTGCTGCTGCTGCTGCTGCTGCTGCTGCTGCTGCTGCTGACGCAGCGAGTGGAGAAGAGGGGCGAAGGATGGGAGGGTCAGCAGCACCAGCAGCAGCACCCTTGCCCACACACCAACCACCACCCTCGTTCCCTGCTGTTGTTGAATCGTCTCAAAGGTCACCCTCGTCCCCTGCTGCCCTGCACACAGCGCCTGTAACGGGCAGTGCGGGCAGCACATGGCATGGTGCCGTGGCACATGCAGCAGCATCAGGTGCAGCATGCAGTGTGGTACCCCATGCCACGTGGCATACTGCTGCACCGGCAGCCAGCCATGCCAGCCATGCCAGCCATTCCACCGCCCTCCCGTTCGCCTGCGCTGCATCTGCTGCTGCGGCTTGTGTCAAGGTGGAAGGCAGCGCGGCAGCACCTGAGGCAGCGCATGGAAGGCGGGGAGCATTACGTGCAGCATGCAATGTGCTACCCCATGCCACCGCCCTCCCGTTCGCCTGCGCTGCATCTGCTGCTGCGGCTTGTGTCAAGGCGGAAGGCAGTGCGGCAGCAGCAGAGGCAGGGCATGGAAGGCGGGGAGTGGAGGGCATGGGGGGGACGTGGAGGGAAGATGCGCAGGTGGCAGGGGCGCAGGCTGCAGAGGCAGGGGTTGCAGGGGCAGGTGGTGCAGCATGGGGAGCAGGGGCGCATGGTGAAGGGCGTGTGGCGGCAGGCATGGGTGCAGGTGACGCAACTGCAGGGAGCAGGGCAGTGGTGGCAGCAGCATGGGCAGGTGGTGCTGGTGGGTTGGCTGCGGTGCCCGGGTGTGAAGCAGTGTCGGCTCGTGCTGCACCTGTGCCGCCCCGGCCTCTGTTCAAGTGGGTGGTGAAGGAAATCCCTGTGCATGCTGATTTGCATGCTGATGTGCATGAGAATGTGCATGCGGACGGACATGCGGACACTCATGAGGCCGTGCATGGGGATGTGCAGGCAGGTGATATGGCTGGTGCTGTTGTAAATGGGGGCAGTGGGGGCATGGGTGGTGGGGCACTGGGTGGTGGGGCAATCGGTGGTGCAGGTATGGGCGGTGCAGGTATGGGCGGTGCAGGCATGAGCGGTGCAGGCATGGGCGGTGCAGGCATGGGCGGTGCAGGCATGAGCGGTGCAGGCATGGGCGGTGCAGGCATGGGCGGTGCAGGCATGAGCGGTGCAGGCATGGGCGGTGCAGGCATGAGCGGTGCAGGCATGGGTGGTGGGGAGAGAACACGAGAGGGGCTGGGAAGTGTTGGAATGGCGTGGGGCGGGGAAGTGGGGTGGGGGGGGAGAGTGGGCGGAATGGGGACTTGGGGAGGAGCACAGGGGCTGGCGGCATATGGTATGGCGTATGACATGGCACATGGCATGGCATCAGCACAGCAGGCAGCAGCGCAGCAAGCACTGGGGCAGGCAGCAGCACAGCTAGCACCGGGGCTACAGGCAGGGGTGCAGCAGCAGGGAGCGGGGCAGCAGCAGTGGTACGAAGCATGCATGCATGGGCATGGGGCAGCAGGGGTGGTGGCAGGGCGAGCCATGGGATACGCACAGGCAGCGATGCCATGGGCTGTGCAGCACGGCGGGTGGTGGCCTGCTGCTAGAGCCCACCCCGTGCTGGCGGCAGGGGGGGCGGGGGAGGAGGAAAAGGCAGCTTCACATGGGCCTGACGCTGTAGGGGTTGCTCCTGTTGCCAACAAGACAACTGAGACTGCTCACACCGTTGACATGACTGACAAGCCCAAGGATTCGACTGACGCGACATCAGGACGGATTGATGTGAAGGTAGAGTGTACGGACACTACACCGGGCTTTACTGACATAGGACCACAGTACACTGACATGACACTTGATTTGACTGACATGAAACCAGATCTTATTGATATGGAACTGGTTTCAGATGAGTTGACTAACATAGTGCTGACAGCCACTGACGTGAAACCAATATGTGCTGAGATGAAACCAGCTGCTGATGTGTCAATGGCAGCTGCTGACGTAAAACTGATAGCTGCTGACTTGAAGCCGATGGCTTCTGACCTAGCTGGACAGAAGTCAGTACCACCTGGAACCGTTGACATGGCTACGGGGCCATGCAGCGCGGACGCCACAGCACAGCGAGAGCACAGCCTGACTGACACGACCTGCTCCTTGCCCCACCAGCACATGCCTGTTGAGGCGCCTCAAAAGTCCTTGCCGCAGCAGCATATGGCCCCATCCGTGGAGACTAAGGCGGAGGTTGTGGCAGTGCTTGGGCAGGGTTGGCAGAGCTGCCCGCCTGTGGACCCTCCTTTGAGCCGCGTGCAGCAGCAGGGGGGCGAATTGGAAGAACACAGGAGGCAGTGCCTGCAGGGGCAGCGGCAGCCGCAGCAAAAACAGCAGTTGGTGGAGCAGCCGAGGGAGGAGGAAGAGCAGGAGAAGCAGAAGCAGGAGCGTGTGAGAGGCGGACGTGTAAAGGAGGAGTGCGAGAGGGGGAGGGGGTCAGGCGTGGATGGCGAGGGGAAGAGGCGGGCAGAGGCAAGGCGGGCAGAGGCAAGGCGGGCTCCCAGGGGCGAACTGCATGGAGGGGCGGCCACGGCACACAGGGAGGCGAGGTGTGGGGCGCTGGAGAGGGGGAGGAGGGAGGTGGTGGATCAGGGGAGCAAGGATGCGTTGCAGGGGGAGGAGCAGGGTCCAGTGCAGGTGAAGGCTGGAGGGGGAGAGAAAGGGGTTGGGGATGTCGTGGGGCGCAGCGGGGCACATGCAGGTGTGGTGGACGCGAAGGGAGGTTTGGCGGACGCGAAGGGTGGTTTGGCAGACACGAAGGGAGGTTCGGCCGGCGCGAAGGGAAGTACGGCAGACGTGAAGAGAGGTGCGGCGGATGCGAAGGGAGGTGCGGCGGCCGCGAAGGGAGGCTTAACAGACGCAAAGGGAGGTTCGGCAGACGCGAAGGGAGGTGTGGCAGATGCAAAGGGAGGTTTGGCAGGCACAAAGGGATGTTTGGCAGACGGGAAGGGAGGTTCGGCAGACACGAAGGGAGGTTTGGCAGACGCGAAGGGAGGTTTGGCAGGCACAAAGGGATGTTTGGCAGACGGGAAGGGAGGTTCGGCAGACACGAAGGGAGGTCTGGCAGACGCGAAGGGAGGTTTGGCAGAGGCGAAGGGAGGTTCGGCGGTCACGAGAGGAAGGAAGGTGCACGGAGGAGCAGGCAAGGCGCAGGAGAGGCTGAGGCGGTGGCAGCTGCTGCAGCAGCAGCAGCAGCAGGCAGCGCAAGCGGGAAAGCAGGATGGGGCGGTGGGGCAGGGCAAGGGGGATATGCAGAGGGCGGGTGAGAAGGCGGGTGGTGGAGAGGAAGGCGCAGAGGGCGCAGACGTGGCAGCAAAGTCACTCTTTCAGGGGAGAGATGGGGCAAGGAAGGGAGACGGTGCAAAGGGGGAAGAGGATGGCAAGGAGGGAGAGGGCGCAAAAAGGGGAGAGCATGCAAAAAAGGGAGAGGATGCAAGAAGAGAAGTCGCAAACAGGGAAGAAGGTGCAGAAAGGGGAGAGGATGCGAGAGGAGAAAGGGAACAGGTGGAAAGGAAGCAGGAGGGGAGGGTGGGCATGGATGGTGGGGTTGAGAAGCAGTGGGGCCTCCAGCATGCGGATTCTGGGTGCCATGCAGTCGAAGCCCTCTCCGCTGCTGCTGCTGTTGCACCACCCGCTGCTGCTTTCCCCGCTGCTGCTTTCCCCGCTGCTGCAGCATCCCCTGCTGTTGCTGATGCTGGTGCGGGCAGTAGTAGCACCCATGGTGGCGCCGGCAGTGCTAATGGGCCGCCAGCAGCACAGCTGCAAGCACTGTCAATCACATGCCCTCAACTACCCTCAATCACTGCCCCTCAACCCCTCTCAGAGACTGCCCCTACACCCCCGTCAGCCACTGCCCCTCAACCCCTGTCAAGCACTGCCACTCAAACCCCGTCAGCCACTGCCCCTCAATCCCACCCTTTGCCTCTCTCCCACCCACACCCTGCCGCCTCCCACCCCGTGTCAGCCCCTCCTCACGTTCTCTCGCCATCGCCCCATCTCTTGCCCTCATCCTCCCCCATGCCCCCCCACGCCTCCTCTCCCACTCCCCCTTCCCCGCTCCCCTCCCTGCCTCTCTCCCAGCCCTCCTACCCGTCACCCTCCCCCGCTCCCCATGT